AGAATGCCATCTTTGTCCATTTGTCATCAGTGAGTTCATCTTGCTGCCTTGCCCTGATTGTCAACTTCTTGAGGCAAGTGGCTTGGTCGAAAGCCTTTAATACCATGAATGGCTGCTAGGTAAGTAGTGGACACATGGTTTCTCAACATGTACAGTTGAGTTAACAGAAACATATTTTAATTTATTAAAAAAAAAAGGGCTGTGGCTATCAGTGGAGCTCCATAACATGTTTGAGTCATTCCTGAATGAAATCAACCGGGAACAGAAGGACCAGAGGAAGGAAGAAGTTGTTAGACAAAGCCAGATGGTAGACACAATTAGCTCTTGAGTGACAGCTGGGCTGTTGTCAGTCTAGTGGTGAGGGATCATGGAGAGGCAGTACCCAGGAGGGCTGTCTGCAGGAAACACGGAGCTTTACCAGAAAGATGAGACACAATCAGATGGAAATGGGGTATCTAGAGGAGGGGTGGATGTAACCCAGACAAATCATACATGCATATTGATGAATTCAATATGGTTTATAAGACAAGCTTAGAATGGAGTGGATATAGATATAATTTAGGTTGGTTCATGATCATTTTATTAATGGCTGAAGAGTGAAAAAGTGAACCCCAGGAACTGGGATGTTTCCACTGAAAAAAATGTATCTTGGGCCTGGCACCAGTGCCTAGCGGCTAAAGTCCTCACTTTGAAAGTGCTGGGATCCCATATGGGCACCGGTTCTAATCCTGGCAGCCCCACTTTATCCAGCTCCCTGCTTGTGACCTGGGAAAGCAGTCGAAGATGGCCCAAAGCCTTGGGATCCTGCCCCACGTGGGAGACCTGGAGAAGGTTCCTGGTTCCCAGCTTCAGATCAGTGCAGCACTGGCCGTTTGCGGTCACTTGGGGAGTGAATCATCAGACAGAAGATCTTCCTCTCTGTCTCTCCTCTTCTCTGTATATCTGCCTTTCCAATCAAAATAAAACAAATATTTTAAAAAATAAATTAAATGTATTGACTTTTGAACCAGCTGCTTTGCTTCTGATCCAGCTCCCTGCTAATATGCCTGGTAAAGCAGTGAAGGATGGCCAAATGCCACCATGAAAATGTTTCCTGAGATAAAAACAACAATTTAGAAACTTTTGCAATCAAAATTTATACCTTAAATGTGCCTTTCACACTAACATTAAATCTGATAGTAGAATTGTAACATATATGCATATGATGCTTGTAACATATAGCACAGATGTTTAGTATGGCTTGTAAAACCTTTTGCTACTTTCAATCATCTCTCATATACAGAAGCTCATCAGGGAACCTTTGAAATTGTGTAAGCTGGGCAGAGAAGAGCGAGGGGATCCAATACATCACTGTGACATAGGAGATAAGAACTTCTCCCTGGTGTTCCATATAACAGCAGTTTCAGTGGTCTTTTTCTGTCTGTTTCTGTGCTAAGACCAGCTGTGCAGTCTCTTCATCCTCCTGAATTCTTGGGCTGATCTTCCCCTGTGATTCCCAAACTCATAGGCCAGTTCCCCCCTTTTAGTGTCTTGGTGTTTGATGGGGCTTTGACTGGCTCTGTGGGATCTTCCTTTGGACTTGATCTCTCTGTCCTGGAGTTGATTCTCTGCTGCCTTTCCATGAAGCTAGGTAGGGAACACCAGAGGCTTCTCACAGCCTTTCTTCCGCAGAGCTGTCTGATTGTTCTAAGTAGCATTGTGTTCACATAAAACTTTTCTCATGACAAGGCTAAAGGGTTCTGTAGATAAAATGTTAGCAATTTCTTCTGAATTTGTAGAAATACAATGAAAAAGTAATGAGGAGTGTTTTAACTTTTATTTGATCAGTATTTTAAAAAGTTTTAAATCCACTTACGTTCTTCTGGCTATCATTTTAGTGGCTTTTGATATAGGTCCAAATAATACATTTGCGCTTATCTGCAGTTTGCTCTAACATCTTTACACTTTGATCTTTAAAGCATACCTTGACTTCTGAGGGTTCCACTCAAGAATAGATTTTTTTTAAAACACTTATTTAATTGAAAGGCAGAGTTTCAGAAGGAGGGAGAGTCAGAGAGGTGGAAGGAAAGAAGGAGAAACAAAGAGACAAAGTGAGAAGGAAGAGTGATCCACTGGTTCACTCCCCAGGTTACTGCAATGGCCAGGGCTGGGTCACGGCAAAACTGGGAATTTAGATCTCTGCATGGGTGACAGGGGCCCAAATACTTGGGCCATTACCGGCTGCCTCCCTCAAAGTGTGTACATTAATGGGAAACTGGATCAGAAGCAGAACAGCCAGGATTTGAACAAGCTCTCCGACATGGGATGCTGGTGTAGCACACAGTTTGATTCAACCCACTGCACCACAAGGCCAGATCCTCAAAATGTAGGTTTTCGAGCAGATCAAGACTCATCTTGTGGTACAGGGCATCAGTTTAGGTAGAGGAAAGGAATGCTGGTGTAGCTGGTTACAGGCTTCTCTGTACTGCTAGCTTTAACATCAACGATTTCCTATCCCAAGGTAGGTGCTACTTCTTGCTCCTTTTCTGCAAACCTCCTTGGCCTGGATTCTTCCAGGACCCCGGGACCCGGCAGCTCTAGATATGATTTTTCACCAGGAGTCACCCAATGGTGCTTGTCCCTGAGATGTTTTCATGTCATCCAGTCCATTGTCTCGAGCTCCTGGTGGCCCCTCCTGGGGAACTCATCAGGAACACCCAACACACTTGAGGTTTTCACTTCCCACTGAGAACAGTCTTACCGGGAAGACCTGAGAGGTAGTATTTAAGATATGCTCAACAGAATAGCCTAGCAGGTCTTACAAATGAGCTATCAATCTAAGAAGTTCAGCATACAAAGTCAGAGGCAAATGAAGAGATTCAGAGCCCACCTGAAGGGGAAGCTTTTGATACTGGCTCTCTGCATACACCAGAGGCCTTGTTAGGTCCTCAGAGGGTGCACAGATCCTGGGAAGTAAAACGTTAACCTTCACTTTTTTCTTCAGAGTGATTCTGCTTTAATCTGTTTTGTATGTCAGGTCACCATGTAAGATTCTGATAAAAGACAGTTTTGTTACTAAAGAATGTATGTAACCAGCAGGACCAGACAAGATTCTGAGGCATCGAGAGGTTTGCTGCCTTGATGTGTACATTTCCCAAGATCCTACCCAGGAATGTCCAGATGGTTGTGAAGACACTAATGTGCTGCAGACTAGGGGTAACCCAAATTCAGAAAAGCTGTGTTGTCTTTGTAGAGATCAGACAAGAAGTTCCTTAAACATAAAATAATCTCTACAGTGATCTGTAATGTATAATAAGGGGTAATGATGCAACATATTGTGTTCATCCCTTATTGCTTGGCCAACTGTTGTAACAGGATGAAAACAAACAGATGTTGAACACATACGTCTGAGCTTTGGCTGTCACTTATTGTGTCTTATTGGTGCTTTTTGAAATAACATCACAAGAGTGAACACAAACTTCCATTCCGATTAAGCAAAAAGATTAATAGTAACTATGACTTTCTTAGTTAGCTTACACACATAAGAATTTGAGATAATGTGTAGGCACTAAATGCAGATGTAGATAAGTTAGCCAAGTAATGTATGTGAACAGTTTGGAGGTTTCTAAGTTTGGTGTGTGCCACTTAACTATATGTTTTTCTACCCCAGCTTGAAAATAACAATAAAGGGAAAAGGGAAATTTGAATAAAAGCTTATAGAACTCTTGAACTGCCTGAACAGATGTCAGGCTTCCAAAGAACACAGCTTACAACCCCCAACTTGGTGCCTCTGGATAAGGACCACAGCGTTCATCATTGCTGGTGCTTCAGATTCGCTCTCTTTAAGGCATTACTACTCTTTAGTATATTTTCTGAAAATAAATATGATCAGGTTTTAAAAAGATTAATTAATTTGTTCAAAAGGCAGGGTTTTCAGAATGTGAGAGAGAGCTTCCACCCATTGGTTTACTCTCCAGTCGGCTACAACATCCACAGCTGGGCCAGGCTGATACCAGAAACTTCATGAGGGTCTCCAACATGGGTGATAGGTGCCACAGCACTTGTGCCATGTTCTCCTGCTTTCCAAGGTGTGTGGGCAGGGTGCTGGGTCTGAAATGGAGCAGCTGAGACTTGAACCTGTCCCCATATGGGTGCTGTGCCACAACATCAACCCTGATCCAACTTTTTAACACATCTCTTTCTCTTTTTAAAGAAAAAGTATGTGCAATAGAGTATATCAGTAAGGATGTATCCATTTGAACCCCCCTCCCCCCAAATTGGTTTGAATTAGTGTGTGTCATTTTACACGCAATAAACAGGATAGCAGATTAGTTTCACATGAGACATTTATAAATTTTAAGATTCCCCCCCCCCACCCCAAGTTGATGTGTTGTAAACCACCTTTACTGATTATAGTGGAATGAAATTAGAAATCAGAAGCAGCAATAATGAAACTGTCAGCTGTGATCTGACACGGTTATCTACAAATTATATGGCTTGCTGTGCTTTGGTGTGGCGCAGTCTTTTTTGCATAAATGAACTCAGGGCAACCCCTTCCTCTAAGCAGCCGCTTATACAAATGTAAACTGTCAGTTTTAGGACCAGGTACAAGGAATAGGTGGAAAAACAAACAGCTTCTGGAAAAGCAGATGAATCTGATCAAACCTTATCTAGAAAGTGAATTTTGGTTCATTTCTTACCCTTGGATTCAACTTATTAAGGAATTTTGAAGACTAACAATGAATATCAGTAAAATAATAAATAATATTAATATTAATATGAAGGCATCTTACTCTGATGTTTAGGGGATAGTTAAATGCATTCTGTGAATGTCTTAGAGGGGAGAGAACCAGAAAGCCCTGGATCCCGCTGGCCACAGCCTCCGACACCCAGGGAGAGGGGAGATTTTTCTAGCATCCCTCTTTTCAGTGGCGTTGAAATGTCAGGAAGCAATTTAATTTTTCTGAGGCGTTTTCACTGCTTTTAGAGAACTCATGTTGCTATGACGACTCTCTTCACAGTTGCTCATGTTGTGAACCATGATTGGCTTGTACCAACAAGCTGCTTTTCCTATTAACATTACATTGAAACCGGGACTGGCTCAGTATGGAGGAGCTCTCGGGTTTCTGAAATGGCTGTTTCCAGCTTACAGCGTGCGGCAGGTAGGTGGTGGTTTTCCAAACATGAAAAGTGAAAGTCCATGAAGATAAAGCAGGATATGAGCCTCCTAGTTAACACAGGAAAATGTCGACTCATTGAGTAGCTGTGTTAGTCTGTGAAAGCTCAGCTTTCACATGTGCCAGTTAAAATTTGGGAAGAATTCCTGGAGATGAGGCATGAGAAAGCCAGAAGAGGGGGAAAAAAGGAAAAAGAGAAAAAGTGAAAAAGGGGACAAAAGAAAAGGAAAAAGAGCATAGAGAGGTTACAAGCAGAACACATGGTCCAGTCATTAGAACTTGTGCGTGGTGGGATGGAGTTTTGACTCTGGGCATGAAAAGCAGCTGTGAAGACATAGAGGTCGTTTGTGCTGTACTAAGCCACGTGTACCTTAAGCAGCATTCTGCTGGGGCACAGCAATGGGGCTGTGAGGTGGAGGTCTCTCTGATGCATCTTAGCAGCTTTGTGCTGAGCTGCCGGCTCTGTTTCGCCTTGCAGATGGGCTGGGAGTGGGAGGGAGCGCTCGCTGTTTACAGCCCCGCAGATGTGCAGTGACAGCAGAACTTGGTCAGGAACAGTAAACCTGCGCAGCCGTGCTCTGTGTGGCAAGGGAGGACAATGCTTACCTTGCACTGTAGAAATCGTTCATCTGTAAAACCAGCGTCTTAGCACATGGGTGGTTGAGTCTGCAGAGGCAGGGTGTTACGTATTCTAGACACATCTGTGTGTGTGGTGTGAAAGATACATGTAGAGAGAGCACTTGTCTCATTTTTAAAAGATGTTAATGATAAGGGAACCTCTGTCTTAGTTTACTATCGGTTTGGAGAGGTTGGCTTGTTTGTATGGTTTGTTATACTTGGAGGTCTTGCTGCTTCCAATTCATGATTTTTCTTGGGGTGAAAGAGGCATCCTGGCTCCCTCACAAATTGAAGGGTTTGCTCCTTGATTTGCACTGTTTGCCCAGTAGACTGAAACTCCATGTTGGGGTGCATGAGTGTTTTTAGGCAGGCGGGATGCAAACGAGGAGCTGCCCTGGTCGTAGGCCTCACTGCACATGTTCCAGCGTGAGCAGGGAGCCCTGATCATGGTGGACTCTGCCATACCGTTTCTACCTGGCATGTGAAGCTTTTGTTTTGTTTTTTAATTCATAAACTTTTATTGGAAAGGCAGGTTTACAGAGAGAAAGAGATACAGAGAGAAGATCTTTTCATTTGCTTTACTTCCCAAATGATGGAAGCTGAGCCAATCCGAAGCCAGAAGCCAGGAGCTTCTTCCAGGTCTCCCATATGCATGCAGGGTCCCAAAGCTTTGGGCCATCCTCTGCTGCCTTTCCAGGCCATAAGCAGGACGTTGGAAGGGAAGTAGAGCAGGTAAGACATGAACTGGTGCCCATATGGGATAGTGGAGCTTGCAGGTGGAGGATTAGCCAATTGAGTTATTGTGTTGGGCCCATGTAGAGCTGTCTAAAAAATTTTTTTAAGAAGAGAGAAAGGGGCCCAGTGTGGTAGCCTAGCGGCTAAAATCCTCATCTTGTACATGCTGGGATTCCATATGGGCGCTGGTTCTAATCCCGGCAGCTCCACTTTCCATCCAGCTCCCTGCTTGTGGTTGGGAAAGCAGTTGAGGATGGCCCAAAGCCTTGGGACTTTGCACCCGCGTGGGAGACCTGAAAGAAGTTCCTGGCTCCTGGGTTCGGATCCGCGTAGCACTGGCTGTTGTGCTCACTTGGGGAGTGAATCATCGGACAGAAGAACTTTCTCTCTGTCTCTCCTTTCTGTATATCTGCCTTTCCAATCAAAATAAGTAAATTTAAAAAATATATATTTGCTTATTTTTATTGCAGACGAGGACTTTAGCCGCTAGGCCATGCCATCGGGCCCAAAATAAATAAATCTTTTTTTTTTTAAAGATTTATTTTATTTTTTTTTTTATTGGAAAGGCAGATATACAGAGAGGAGAGACAGAGAGATCTTCCGTCCGATGATTCACTCCTCAAGTGAGCACAACGGCCGATGCTATGCGGATCTGAAGCCAGGAGCCTCTTCCGGGTCTCTCACGCAGGTGCAGGGTCCCAAAGCCTTGGGCCATCCTCGACTGCTTTCCCAGACCACAGGCAGGGAGCTGGATGGGAAGTGGGGCTGCCGGGATCAGAACCGGCGCCCATATGGGATCCCGGGCGTGCAAGGCGAGGACCTTAACCACTGCGCCATTGCGCCGGGCCAGAAAATAAATAAAACTTAAAAAAAAAAATAGAGAAAGGAGGCAGAGGTCTTCCATCCTGTGGTTCAATCTCTGAATGTTTGCAACTGTCAGGGCTTGGGCAGCCCAGAACTCAGTGCAGATCCTTCAAGTGGGTGGCAGAGGCCAAGTACTTAAGTGATCGTCTGCTGCCTCCCAGAGTGTGCGTTAGTGGGAAGTTAGATTGGAAGTGGAGCAAGAATTCCGGTCCAGGCGCTCTGTTATTGGAAGTGGGTGTTCCAAGTAGCAAGCCAGCTACTCTATCAAATGCCTGCCCCACTACTCACTTTAGACAGGCAGCTTGGGGGTGGTGAGTGTCCTATTATTTGAATTTGGGAGATCCTGGCTGCGTTTGTTTCTTCCATGTGTACACACACACACACACACACACCAGCCACTGGGACTAGCACTGTAGTGTATCAGGTCAAGCTTCCGTCTGTGGTTCCCGCATCCCATATAGGTCCTGGTTAGAGTCCTGGCTGCTGCTCCACTTCTGATCTAGCTCCTTGCTAATGGCCTGAGAAAGTAGTGGAGGGTGGTCCAAGTGACTAGGTCTTGCACCCATGTGGGAGACCCAGAAGAAGCTTCTGGCTTTGTATCAGCCCAGCTCTGGTCATTGTGATCATTTGAAAAGTGAAACAGAGGCTGGGAGATTCGCTTTCTGTGTCTCGTAACTGTCTGTAACTCTGTCAAATAAAAATAAAATAAATCTTCTTTTAAAAAGTAGCCACTGCTTGGGAATAGACTATATAGATTTGTACATTATCAAATTCTTGGAGATTGCTCAGCTTCATATTGGCCTTAGGCATGTTGGGCCAGGGTTGGACATTTGGCTGTAGTGAATATGGTTTTGTCCATCTTGAAGCTGCTCTCATGTTATTTGTGATATTACTCAGCACCTCAAACAGCCACTCCCACTTCTCACGCATTGCCTATATTTTTTTAAATGACATATTCCATTGGGTCTCATTTACGCAATTTCCTGTTACCCTGTATCTATAAAATAAAAAGTACTAAAAGTGCTCTCTCAGACACAGTGCTTTGGTAAATGTGTTTTCCACTCACTGAGGGGACAATTTTTTTTTTTTTTGCACGAATAGGAGATTGACTTCTAAATTGAGACTGCCTACTTTGTCGTCATTCTGATCTTTCTCTCGGATATTTGTAAAAATAATTTGTAAAAATAAGAATGTGTTTAGATGTCTTGGTAGCATTTGGAAATACATGTTTCATTCAACAGTTTGAATATAGCTTAGTTTTTCTTTTTTTTTCCCTGAAGATCTTGGTATGTTGAGATGTCCCCATCTGCTAGAAGTTTTAACATTTTGTTTAAATGGAGACAATGAAAGAATCTTAGGTAGCCAGTATGTTGATATATTAAATATTATATTGAATGTAATATTTTATTGACCATTCTAAAAAATTCATAATATATTCAGGTATAAAATTCATAATATGCCTCAAGTTTCTCTTGTAGAAAGTTTCTTACTTGTTCTGTGTTGGGCATCTTGTTTTTATTCTTTTCAAATTTGTACATGTGTGGCAAACATGGGATGAATGCACATACTTTGCGGGGAACCACCAAAATGGGGATTTAATTTTTGATTGATGCCACACCATGTTTCGGACGAAGTCTAAACTGTTTAGGGTCGGCGTTGGGGAGAGTGGTTGAGATCTCTCATGTGTGCAGTGCTTCTGAATCCATCTTCCTGCTAATGTGTACTTTTGGGAAGCAGCAGTGATAACTCAAGGACTTGGACCCCAGCCACCTACATGGAATCCTGGGTTGAATTCTGGCTTTCTAGCTTATGCCCACCTATGGCTGTTGTTGGCATTGTGGGGAATGAACTAACAGAGGGAATATCCCTTTGTGTCTGCCTCTGTCTGTCTCTCTGACTTTCAAATAAGATTAAATAAATAAAAAATTTAAAATACAGGGTCTGGGGTGGTAACCTAGTAGCTAAAAATTCCATGCCTTACACTCCCAAGATCCCATATGGGTGCCAGTTAGTATCCTGCCTGCTCTACTTCCTATTCCGCTTCCTGCTTGTGGCCTGGGAAAGCAGTCAAGGACGGCCCAAAGCCTTGGGACCCTGCACCCATGTGGGAAACCTGAAAGAAGCTCCTGACTCCTGGCTTCAGATTGGCTCAGCTCTGGCCATTGCAGCCATTTGGGGAGTGAACCAACAGATGAAAGCTCTTTCTGTCTCTCCTCCTCTCTGTATATCTGACTTTACAGTTTTAAAAAAATCTTAAACCAAAGCAAGGAGCCAAAAGCTTCTTCTGGGCCTCCCATGCAGATACAGGGTCCCAAGGCATTGGGCTATCCTCATGTGCTTTTCCAGACCACAAGCATGGAGCTATATGGGAAGTGAGGGTGCTGGGATGTGAACTGCTGCCCATATGGGATCATTGCATGTGCAAGGCGAGGACTTACCTGCTAGGATACCATGCCAGACCAATAAATAAATCTTATTAAAAATTTTTTTTTAAGTACTCAGAAAGATTAACTTATTTGAAAATTCCAAGGCACAACAGTTGTTAGGGGAGCTTAGACTGGGAAACAGCTAGCAATGTTAAGTATCAGGTAGAGAAGGAGTGTGAAAATACATTTCCCATGGTTGGTGTCATCTCACTGGCTCCCTGTGGTACATTGGCACCAACTGTGTAACAGGCATTGCATATGGATTTGTTGAATGAAGGGATGAATGAGAGGAGTAGAAGCCACATCCTTATGAAGAGCAAGATGTGGAAAGGGAAAATCTAG